AAACTTAATTTTTTGTTTCAGCGGGTGAGCTAGCATTTTTATGGCTTTATTGAAAGGACCATGAAATGTCCTTCTGCTGACATGCGAAGAGGTAAGTGTCGGATAACTTTTTGACCTCAAGAGGAGGGTTAAACATGGATTTGTTGACTGTTAACAAAGGAGTGAACTGCTTTTGCTATTAGAGCCCCCCTCCCCCACCCTCCCTTCCCCTCCCCACCGCCCTCCCCCACCCCTTCCCCACCCCCTCCCCCTACCCTCCCCTCCCCCTACCTCAAGAGGAGGGATTAACATGGATTTGTTGACTGTCTGTTAGAAAGAATTTTGACTGCCGGGTTTGCTTAGTAGAATCTATACATGCCTGGATGTATGAGGCTACAATGTCACAGTGAAATTTCAAAGCTAAATTGGTTAAAGAAGGTGTATATTCCTTAAATCGTATAATTTCTATGTCATCTCTGTACTGTCAGTATGTTACATGTCACGTATGCCACTGCCAGTGGCTGTGCATGTGTTGGGCAGTTTTTTGCCTGCATTAAATTGGTTACAGGTGGCAGCTCTCTATTGCAATTTGGCAGCCTGTAGCTTGCGTAGGTAAATGGATGAGTGCTTACCTAGATTCTGTCTTGCAAATAGTTGTTGCTACTACGACATGATGGGAGCTTCCATTCTTTAATCTGAAGACACTTCAACGTACACGCCATCTCGTGCAACTTTCATAACGCATCCAACGAACATTCTTTTGAGAAGGTTCCTGATACCATCTCTGCTGCATATCCACTATTTCGGCCATGTATGTGAAACACATTTGGGACTAACAGGGTTTACTAGAAATCCCACCACTCCACCACAGAGTCACCGCAGTAGACGTTAGAATGAGCGCTGTCGCTATGCGGCACTTGTCCATATGTAATATTTAATGGATTGCTCTGTAGGAATACCAGAATATATTGTTCTATCAGGGGCCATTTATTTTGCCATCCCCGAAAACAAGGAACCACCCAATATTATTATTAATAATACTTACTGTCCAAAACCTCCAACACATTCTCATTACGAGTCAATGTATGGTGTGGTTTTTGGAGCAGTGATGCTCCTGGGTGAGAGGGCAGTAATGAGTTATTACCGTTCTCTCATGCGTAATGTCACCGAATGTTGGTACAGTATGTGTATTTAATTCTACTATTCGCGAGCCTTGGGTAAGTTATATAGGGGCGTGACGGGGTTGTCATCAAGCTATTCTCGCAATCGCCGACACGCATCGTTACAGAGAAGAATTTCCTGCGACCTGGGCAGATGAACATCAACGTCGCCACTTGGGGGAGGCTCATGAAAAAGACACTGCCATCAGGCGATGCTAACCGTGAGGCCAGCATAGAGGCGCCCTCTATCTCGGCTTCGGACAGGGGCATACCTGTGCACAAGATTAACTTCGAGGGTCCGTCAGAGAGGGTGGGACACCTGTCACAGAGTGAAGACCAAGAGGTAGGCGGCAAAAGGTTCCTCGAGACAAAGCCTTTCTTGAAACAAAAATTGAAAATTTCACAACACAGTTTCTTTTTGCAACTGAAATGAATTTCTCCGCTCAGGTGTTCAAATCGGAGGAGTTGGCGTGGGCAGAGGAGGCGGAGCGGGAGCGGGAGCGGGAGAGAGGTATACAGATGGGGGAGGAGGAGGAGCAGGAGGAGCAGCCTCCGCCGTTGCCGCAGTCGGCACCGCCGCCGCTGCCCGCCTCATCGTGTCCCTCGCCTCCCGAATACTCGATCGCCGTAAACGTACGTTAGTTTCATCGTCAATTAGTCTAACCATGTTGTAGCATGCTTGTCATGTTGCCGAGGGCTGCAATGGCACTCGTGTTGTAGGTCACAATGCCCACTAGACTGTCCACTAGACATACGTTCACTCATATCAGCAAATCGGTGCACATCACGTCGTTCTGGAATTTTTGACATTCCTAGAAAATCACGGGCTGTGAAAATGATTCTTGGTGCCACTTTTAAAACGCCACGACACACGTTGACTGTATGTGTGGACGCAGGGTCACTGATCTAATGTTACTTTCCGTAGCTGTTTTCATTGTAAACATCGCAATTGGTTCTATGGATGTTGGTGTAGGAAATTGTTGCGCGTATGCATCATTGCAGTGAGGATGGCTATATCGTTGTGGCTTGCTGGTTGCTGGAAAGCTCCAGCAGGTGGTGTGAGTGAGTGTGCGTGTGAGTGAGTGTGTGTCCATAGCAACCGCTTTATTACCCCCTAACACTGAGCGCACGCTCGTCAACTAGCAGGTTTCCCCTTCCTTTACTTACAGGATGCGCTGGCAGCGTTTGACTTTCTTTTGGAGGATGCGGTACTCGCGTTTGTTTCGTATACCGAGCTTAGATTTAGCAGAGTTAACCGAGCTTAGTTTGGCATGTTAGCATGTGATGAACGTGAACACTTACGGGCACGCTGATCGCCGTACTGGCCGAAGTCGAAACTGCCCTGATGTCACTTCATGTTACCAGCTACTTCAGCTCACTATGTAAAGAAGTTTAAGCTTGTCCCCATTTCTTCTTTTCTAAACTTTCTAACTAGGGGTGAAATTGTTCTCAATCGTTTTTTTTTAATGTTAAAATCGTTTGACCCTCAAGATGATGGCTAAACATGGCACAGTTTGCAACAAAATTAACTGTCTCCAAGTTATATAAATCCTCAAATATTGGTGGAGATGACATTTAATGGCATCATGCGTGCTAGCAGACTTGTAAGGAATGTGTGCAGTTAAACCGCACTCTCCCCGTTGCCCCATACTGCTTTCGATCTGACTTCCATTTTCTATCATCCATGTATCTTCTTATTGTGTAATGTAACATGGTAAACGTACGAAGGCGTCAGTTTACGGTCAGACGGTTTGCCCATGAGCGTTTGCGTCAGTACTGCAGTTGTCATTCGTTCCCGTTCGTTACCTCCTGCAGTGTCATGCGAACAGCGTTAGCCAACTGCTCATCCTGCTGCTTCTGGGGGTGGGGTGCATTCCAGACGCTGCCCTTGTCTCGAGGCAATGCGCCCGATATGGTTACGACGTTATGCAACCTGTGGGATTGTTCACAGGTGACCATCTCGCAGAGATGCCAACCACTACGATTTATTCGTATTTTATACGAATTTCTATTCCTTTTGCACCACTACGCCAATTTGTATCAAACTACGAATTTGTTGTCATTTTTTGTCAATTTATTCTCATTGTTGCCCCTCAGAATGCAGGAAATTGCATCTCGGAATCAAAACATTTTCCGGGTGGCATGCCGGACCACCCTAGCAAACTCGGGTCACTACATGACCCTCAAACTACTAATTTGATGGCCAGAAACTACAGATTGCTTCAAATATGTGTTGGCATCTCTGATCTTCGTGTCTGATATGTGCTGTCACTCACAAGCATCAGGCCTGGTAAATCCGCTGACCCCATCCGGGCGCGCCCCATACTGACAGTTTGATTGTTTTCTCGCATGTGTTTGCCTGCCTTTCGTGAGTTGTGAGTGCTGGATAGAAATTACGTGATTTCTCATTTATATTGGCTCTTTTCACTAATTTCAGTTCGTGATTTCTAGTTTTATGGTTGGTTATCTAGGATAATTGATATTGTATCGTACACCGGTGTTACCAATCTTAGTAATGACTGTACCAGCAGTTTTCCCGTGTGGTAGGGTATTGCCACATTAACAATGCTATTACAGTTGTATTATTGTTTTAATCAAACTAACACGTGTTTTTGGCTTGCTATAATCTGCTTCGGCCGTTTTTAATCGACTGGGCATAACTGTCTTATACAGGTTCTGCCCATGTTTTTGTGGCGACGTAATTATGCATGTGCGTTCTGACCCGACGATTTAATGTGCATCTTATTTTGCGCATGCTGATATAACAATAACAGCATGAAGTTTTTTGTGCTGTGCGATTTGATGTGATCGCTGTTATTATCCAGATACTACACCGGTATACGCTCCTTCGCGCTAGGCCAATTAAGTCGAGGTTTTTCTTACAATGTTCTCGAATGATCGCTAAAATTTGCTCAGGGAATCGACAATTCACACCTGCGCAGGCGGTGAATTTGAAAGTTCTTCCGTTGCGGCCGTGCCGTGAAAACACGGCCATTGGCCTGGACGTCATATCTTCTTTGTTTTCTCCCCAGCAGGATGCACTCTCAGCATTCGATTTCTTGCCTGGAGAGGAGCAGGTGGTTATGATCAGTGAGCCACAAAGGTCACATCCAGTGCTAGACGAAGATCTCGAAGGTGCCTACGACATAGGTATTGATGCTGCTAGCAGGAGCGGTACACGAGTGACCTTCCGTTTCTCAGAACGTATTGTTTATTATGAGTTACTTCGTAGATGGCTTCCAACTTGATGCGTTTCTTCTTTTGTGAAACAAGCCTTTCTTCTCTCACATAATTTATCAGCACTGATAGCAATCTTCTTCCCTGCATGTAGCCTTTACTTTATTAACATGTTCACACTTTTGATCTTCAGGGTGTGATTGCATTACTACGTGCCATTAGCCCATTGTTTTTTCTAATTGAAAACCCTGGATTTACCAATTTCCGTCGATATTTCCTGAACAAAAATGTTTGGCAGTAACTATTTACATTAAAAAAGAACCAAATAGATGCAAACGTGATTCCCTAAACATTGCCATGGTATCTGACAGTGCCAGTTCCATCGTTGCCTCCGGAGCGACCTCGTGTGCTACCTAGCATCCCACCGCGACCACCGAAGAGCCAAACAATTGTGACTGCCGTGTCGTCACGGGAACCAGACTTTCCCGCAGGAATCGACATGGATAACTTCCGCTGTATCAGCGTTCTGGGTAGAGGTCACTTTGGCAAGGTGAGTATATTTAACCAACTCAAAAGTGTGCGGTCATAACGAAGGGTGTATGTAACTATTGAAGCCAACGTTGGGGATGTTCTCGATTGGGAAAGTACTGCCCAAGGCATTGCCTTCCTGGTTAATCTTCCAGTTAACCACTTATAAAGTGTGTAGAAAACGCTATTGTAGCTGCCCTTAGCGACTTGGTTTGATGTTAATAAGGCTTCCCCCATGCCATACCTAATCTCTTTTAGGTACTGTTGTCGGAGTACAAGAACACACGTGAAATGTTTGCCATCAAGGCGCTCAAGAAAGGTGACATCATCTCCCGGGAGGAGGTCGAATCGCTCATGTCGGAGAAGAGAATATTCGAGGTGGCTAACGCGATGCGACATCCGTTCCTCATCAACCTGTTTGCCTGCTTCCAGACCAAGGTGACAACAGGCACCGTTTGTGCTAATTATCTGGGTCGTTCGTTAGAGTTCGATTATTGCACTATAGAGTCGAGTCGGGCATGATCAACGCTCAGGCGTTATAATTGCTGTTAGTATGAGTCTGTAGTCACTAGTGAGAGTTTATCCATGTGCAGACCCTTTGGCTGCTGGTAAAATGTAAACTGCAAGTTATACGTTGAGCGAAATGAGGAGCAAAATTACAAGTTATCGGTCAGATGTACATACACTGAGGGCTTGCATGATTCCCACCAACAAATCTTTCTTGTTGTAGTTGTGACCAGCATGGTTATTTTTTGTAGCAACGAATAACATCATTGTTGTACATCACGTTATAGCCCCGATAACAGAGACATTAAATTTGCACCCCAAGTCAACATTGCTACTATAGTACAACCCCCCTCCCCAACTCCCAACGACGGGATGTCAGGGATGCCAGACACCGTTATAAGAACTACGTCTTCACCCTTGCCCCGTCGGCCTGACAACAGTATGCAATGTTCTGTTGCAGGACCACGTCTGCTTCGTAATGGAGTACGCGTGCGGAGGTGACCTCATGATGCACATCCATTCTGATGTGTTCTCGGAGCCGCGCGCTTGCTTCTACGCTTCCTGTGTAGTACTCGGCCTTCAGTACCTGCACGAGCACAAGATAGTGTACCGGTGAGTATGCCCGCGCGTGTGTGTGCGTGTGCGTGCGTGTGTGCATGCGTGTGCACGTGTGCATGCATGAGTGTGGGACCCAAAGCCTCGGAGTGGTGTTTGTGTAAGTCATGTAGGTAGATGTGGCATACGCTACTAATAACCCCTGCCTCTCCCAGAACACACACATCTCCAATATCTAATGTACTCTCTCGCCGCAGTGAACTGACAACCCCTGCCTCACCCAGAACGCACACATCTCTAACGGCTAATGTACTTTCTCTCCGCAGTGAACTGACAACCCCTGCCTCTCCCAGAACGCGCACATCTCCAATGTCTAATGTACTCTCTCTCCGCAGTGAACTGACAACCCCTGCCTCTCCCAGAACGCGCACATCTCCAACATATAATGTACTTTCTCTCCGCAGTGAACTGACAACCCCTGCCTTTCCCAGAACGCGCACATCTCCAACATATAATGTCCTCTCTCTCCGCAGTGAACTGACAACCCCTGCCTCTCCCAGAACGCGCACATCTCCAACATATAATGTACTCTCTTGCCGCAGGGACCTGAAGCTTGACAACCTCCTGCTAGACGCTGACGGCTTCGTGAAGATCGCCGACTTCGGCCTGTGCAAGGAGGGCATCGGCTTCGGCGACCGCACGGGCACGTTCTGCGGCACGCCAGAGTTTCTCGCCCCCGAGGTGCTCACCGAGACGTCGTACACGCGCGCCGTCGACTGGTGGGGACTCGGCGTGCTCATATTCGAGATGCTGGTGGGAGAGGTGAGCACACGAGAGGGGTGAGAGAGAGAGGAGGGGGAGGGGGAGGGGAGGGAGAGAGAAGGGGAGGGAGAGAGCGAGAGAGAGGAGAGGTACAAGGGGGAGAGTAAGATGGTAGTGTTTGGCAGAGAAGTAGCTGTCTTGTGAGGGGG